GCCCTCTTTCCTCATTATAAACTTCCTATAAATTTCAACTGTCTCTTCCTGTTGTTAAGTATAAGTTTCCTTTTATGCTTCCATCTTCTCTACAACTTCGTCGTTCATTATTTACATTATTCGGACTATTGTCCTCATCTTTGTCGCCATATTCGTGGATAAAGGCGTTGGTTAGATCCAGTGACAGGACCCAAAGAGTGTGAGTTCAATACCCGGTTGAGAACTTTCAGAGGGAAAATTAACAGGAGATAACTGATAACTGACATCCATCAAACATGGCACGTGGAACTAGAACAGTCTACTCCGGTGAGCGAAATAAAGGGTTCAGTTCGACATTCCAACCACCTGAAGAAGGCCGGAGCGTACAACGGCCGAAACGTTGTGATAAATATGGCGACAAAGATGAGGACAATAGTCCGAATAATGTAAATAATGTACATAATACCTCATCGCAGAAATATAGACAAACTTCGTCGTTGCTCACATGTTCAGCCCATGGTATCCTCAGGATCTTTCTGTAGAACCATATTTCTGTTACTTAATGTCTGTTCTTTATCTTTGAGATGATTGTCCAGCCTTGGCGGCAATATGGGAGGATTGATATCATGTTATCTTTCAGTACAGTTTTCTGTCTCTTAATACTCTGCTTAGCTTTTGGAATGCATCTTTGGTTATCCCAATGCCCCTTCGAATTTCAGTGTCACTGTTTTCGTATTCTGTTAAAACACTTCCCTGCTATATTAACGCTTATTTATATTACTAGCATTTTTTAAAGTGTAATATCAATTCAGGGGGTAGGCGATCATGAATACTCCTAATTATCTTTGCAATAAAGTAGGAGTTTCGATTAAATGATAATACGAGGCTTGAATCTTCATTACTTAGCATTTATTAACTCCGATATTTCGTCAGTTACTAGTCTGTGATGCGAGCCCCTAGCCCTTATCCACTATATGGACCTTATATTCTCTGTGATATGTAAAGGACTACTCGAGAAATCCCGAAACTCCCTTGAGCGGTCGTTTGTATAACAGCCTGTGTCATAAGTCATGCAAACTGGATGCATATGTGAGATCACGTACTTCTGCATTTACTAACTCGCACCCCCCAGATTCAGCTCTGCAATCGGCTGGCTTTGAAGGTTTGGTGTGATATTTTAGTGCAATGTCTATTCCAGAATAAGACCGCATCTTTATTGTCCACGAATTTCCTCGCACTCTTGGAAAAATAGTAGAATAGTCACCAGTTGTCTTCTTAACGATTTGGAATTCTGAATTTTCCTTATTAAAGAGTGTTTCATTAAGACAGATTATATATAAGGCTGTTTCATTAAGACGGATCAAAGTCAGCAGTAAATAAATCAGTGTTATTGGTGAGAATTTATTTACTTCTATATTGAATCATGTTATTTAAATGACGGCAATTATGTGTGAAAAATAATATCGCCCAAATGTCCGCCAAATGTGAAAGAAAAAGAAAAAATCACTTGACGCTTAAACTTAATTCACATTTAAAATCGGTCCAAGTTATTGGAACACCTTTTATTAGGATTGATGACAACCAAAGCTCGAGAGCACAGTCTACCTTTCTATATAACCCCTAAAAGACGGATTCATGACTTTCCCAAGGGCATTTGTACGAAACAAATTAGCTCGTAATTTGAACTTGGCTCCCCGATAAAACTCTCGGTGCCGTTATCCGTGACACTACTGGCACGAACCTTAGTATCACTAGACATATAAATAAACAATAATATGTCAATATAGATGAAACTGGAGAAGACAATACTGTCAGTTTGCTAGCGACAAGGTTAAAAAGGAAAGCACGAAGAAAGGACTAATTATTAACTGTAATAGAGAATGCGTGGTTATCCGACCAAAGTGTGAGCTATCTGTTGGGAACATTAACACCACAGGTATCGAAATTTAGCTATTTCGTTATTGTAGTAATTGACAAGGGAAAATGTGAGAGAGAAAGCCGAAGTAGCATAAGAATAGCAAAAACTGTATTTGAGAAACTAAGTAAAGTACTAAGATATAGGAAAATATCCTTAAAAACAAGGAAAAGATCGCAATGGCATATCTAATCTCGTTTGTGGAACTCCCTTCCGGCTTCACGATTTCCAGCCAATTTTAATCTGAAAAAAATTTGCTATGCAATCTCTACTTACTGTTCACTTGATTAGTCTCTTCTCTTTTTGCTCATCATTAATGTTTCTGTTCCGAATTCTTTCACACCCTGTAACCCCATGTGTTTTAGTGACATTATTGCCTTGCTTGCGGTGATTCCGATTAAAGAAACAAAACAAAACATAATTCCTGATTCATGCTGCTTAAGTAGAACCCCGACATGATTCTTCTGAAAGAAATTAAAATTAAAATTAGAGAGGAGTAAAATATCAATGTATCATCTACGAAATTTGTTCACTAACAATAACCGTTATTACTAATTTCTTTTACTAGTATATTCTACATATAATTTCATGTTGCACTTTATCGGAAGACCCACGCTATCATTATATAACTACATACCTTTCTCTTCAGATGCTTACCATTTCGGGGTAACCAGCCAGTATCAGATATTCATATAGTTTTCATTTTTTATGTTGCCAGAACTCTTGATACGCCGCTATCTTTGTTTATATGTACTAGTCGTATAACTTGAAGTGTAATATGACAGTAAATGCTGAACAATCTCCTCACGGATGAAGAGAAGACAAGAGACAATAGAAATGTGGTTCTACAGAAAGAAAGGCGTTGAGAACAACATAGACGGAGCATGTAAGTAACAAAATAAGACTTATACTCATAATCAGAAAAAGGTACCTCAGAAAGAGGTACCTCAGAAAGAGGTACCTCAGAAAGAGGTACCTCAGAAAAAGTATCTTGGACTCATAATGAGGAAGGAGGGCTTCAGAGGACATATCGAAGATAAAAGTGATATTTGAGCTACAAACGAATAGTATGTTGGGGAGAGCCATGATCGAACACAACCTCAATGGACAAGACATATAGAAGATCAAGTTGGTATCTGTCTATATTTCTGAGATGAGGTATTATGTACAATATTTACATTGTTTGGACTATCGTTCTCATCTTTTTTGCCATATTTATCACGACGTTTCGGCTATTCTACGGTAGTCGTCAGAAAGAAATAATAATGGCAATGAAAAATACTTCATCTAAGAAATACAAATAATATTATCACTAATACAAATAATATTATCACTAATACAAATAATATTATCACTAATTCAACTTATTCTTTATTTACATTGTTCGGACTATTGTCTTCATCTTCGTTGCCATATTTATCACAACGTTTAGGCCGTGGTACGCTCCTTGAGAACATTTGTGTATGAATTTCTGGAGCTTATAAACTTAATGTTTCAGCACCGTTTTTACCAGTGCTCATATTGCAATTTTTGCTGGTATCATTGCATTATTTTATCAGAGATTATATTGCAATTTTAAGGACACATGGCACAGTGGATAAAGGCGTTAGTTACATACAGTGACAGGATCCAAAGAGCGTGAGTTCAATACCTGGTTAAGGCAGTGGAGAACTTGGAGAAGGGAATTAACAGGAGATAACTGATAATTGACATCCATTAGACATGGCACGTGGAACTAGAACAGTCAACCCCAGTGAGCGAAATAAAGGGTTCAGTTCGATATTCCAATCACCTGAAGAAAGCCAGAGCGTACAACGGCCGAAACATTGTGATAAATATGGCAACAAAGATGAGGAAGATTGTCCGAACAATGTAAATAAAGAATAAGTTGGATTAGTGATAATATTATTTGTACAGAGTGACCAAAAAAAAAAAAACGGGAATTTTTGAAGTGCGTATTGCCAGACATGAGCAAGTGGCAACACTGCGAGACAGTGACCTTGAGCAAGTAAACATTTCGCCATTTAGAATTCAAGATGAAATTCACAGTATCCCAGCTGAGATGTTGCAGCAGTCAATGAGGAATTTCAACAGCAGATTTCAAGAATGCATTCGTAAAGGAGGACGCCATCTACAGGACGTATTTTAAAAAAAAATGAAAATTCCATCATTGTTTCTTAAATGGCATATTTTAAGGTTTTAATTACCATGAATAAAATATTTTTCTTCCATCACTCTTGGTTTTATTGGATTGTAAAAAGTTCCCGTTTTTTGGGTCACCCTATATTTCTTAGATGAAGTATTTTTCATTATTATTTCTTTCTGATGACTACTTATTTTGTACTATTTATGTGTTTTGTTATCAGCAAGTCACTAAATAAATACTTGGCAAGTCTCGAACTATTTCTTTTCTTTTTCCTCGTAAAGGCTGTTTGCAGATGGACAGTTGTCTTCCCTATTGAGCCATGAAAAGAATTGCTGACAGAATTTGAAATCTAACCTCCATATAGTTTCCTTTCTTTTCTCCGAACGCTAACTTTAATGTTGAAATGCACGAGTTATTATTGTGGGGGGCCAAGACGGATTTCTCGCCGAAACGAGATGCCCGTGTGCGTCTCGTCTTTGTTATCTGAGATTGAATACAAACTACAGACGTTAGAAATAAAAAGAGATCACTATCTCAATCTTCAAACAACGGTGTTAATAATGATAGATATTCACATAGAAGATTAAAAAAATCTGCTAAGAATGCGGATCTTAGACAAACGATAAAAATAAAACTATGAAGAGAAGACAATTGTATGTATGTATGTATGTATATGTATGCATGTACGTGTGTGTGAGGAAGAAAGAGACAATTAAATAGAGTGAGAGGAAAGTAAGATAACAACGGAGAGAAAAAAGGTTAATGGAAATATTTGAAAGATCATCAAGATAGGAACTTAGTTATCTATTTATCTAACTCGTCTATTCATATCTATCATATATCTATAAATCTGTCCATCTTTATCTATCTATCTATCTATCTATCTAAAGTCTATTAAAATCTATCTCACGTCTATACATATCTCAGTCTAATCGTATTATCTATATCTCTGTCCATCTTCTATCTCATTTTGTGTATATATATATATATATATATATATAGAGAGAGAGAGAGAGAGATAGATAGATAGATAGATAGATAGATAGATAGATAGATAGATAGATAGATAGGACAAAAATTAAGTGCTGTGATGGAAAAGCTTCAGTAAATTGATTGAAAAATATAAAGAGAAAATATTGTCTGCAAACGTTTCCAGCATTTAAAAAAACTAAAAAAATTTAATTGTGTATTCAGGTTTAAAAAATGCACGAAAACAAAAAAGAGCTGAGAACATTTTCTCACACCTAATTATATATATATATATATATATATATATATATATATATATATATATATATATATATATATATATATATATATATATATAATCATTTTAAACGTTATTTTTAATGGATACTGATATCTGAGAAGTCGCACCGTTTATTTATCAAACAGTATAGTTATTTATTTTCCTCTCTCTCTCTCTCTCTCTTTCTCTCTCTCTCTCTATATATATCTATCAACCACGGTGACGCTCACCATAACCTAGCGGCTAATCAAACGAACGATTGCACTGATACAGGCCTGTATGCGAATGACATTATATATATATATATATATATATATATATATATATATATATATATATATATATATATTTTTTGTTTTGACCGGTATCACCCTATGCAAGGCAGTAAAGTCGCTAAAACACAAGGAGTTACAGCATGTGGAAGAGTTAGGAACAAAAATGAAAGAAAAAATGGAATCAGGATGACAGTAGATAGCAATTGACAATGCATTTACATTTTTGCAGATTAAATTTGGTTGGAAAGCATCGACCCAGAAGGTAGTTCCAGAAGCGAGAAATGTGAGAAAAGAAACTGTTCGCGTAGAATTTACGGCTACATTTCACCAGCTCACTTGTCAATTGATGAGACCTCGACGCCCGCTTAATACTGCGCTTAAATTCATGAAGTCTAGTTACGATAGCAAAGAGATCACCCGAACAATTACCATGAGATTATTTGTAGAAAAACACAAGGAGGCAACCCTACGGCGGTGAGAAAGTGACTGAAGCCGAGCGTCGAGATCAGGACCAATAAAATTGCTGATTAGTCTTTGGATCTTATCAAGGAGTTCAAGGTAAATAGCAGGGGCACCGGACTATATGTCGTAGCAATATTCTAAGCACGGACGAATAGTAGATTTATATATATATATTAGGTTGGTGCAAAAATAATGACGTAAAATGTCGTTTTTTGATGTCTTTTTTAACGTCAAAAAACGACATTATTACGTCATTAATTTTGCACCAACCTAATATATGTATAAGAGATTCTGGAGAGAAAAATAATCTCGCACGAGACAGTGAACTGATTTTCTTAGCAGCTGACCTAGCAATGGATTCAATATAGGTTTTCCACTTCATGTCAGCTGAGAACGTTAGCCCTAGAAAGGGCAACGAGTCACTTTACTGGAGATTAGCATCAGCCATGCTGATAGAAGTTAGAGATGCGTCCATCAGATGATTAATACAGAGAAGTTTAGTTTTGGATGCGTTAAAATTAGCAAGCTATCTTCTGCCCCATTTCATGGCGGACATGAAGTCGTTTTAGACATCGGCTTCCATTTTGATCTTGTCTGACTGATCAACCTTACTCTCGAAGCAAGAGAAAATGGTTGTTTCGTCAGCATATATGCCAAGTTGAGAGTTGGTGTCATCAGGAAGCTCATTGATAAAAATTAAAAACAGAGTAGGACTAAGGATGCAACCCTGGGTAGGGGGAGGACGCCCGCGTTAGTACGAAAGGATCTAGACGAGTGGCCGTTCAAGATAACTTTCATTTCGCTATTTGATAGGAAAGACAAGGTCAGTTAAAAAATGTGTCCGGAGATATCGTAACTTTTCAGTTTGTGGAGAAAAGCTGTATGCCAGACCCTGTCAAAGGCTTTTGAGATGTCTGTTGCAGTTTTTTGGGTACCCTGTAAGTACTAGTGAGCTAGCCAAAATGAGCTGACTCATTTTATAGTTCACCAATAGAAGGGTTAACAAATTAGAAAGCTCAAAATATTCAATCCGACGTGTATAAAGGCAGCCATTTTGTTTTTTGTCACAAATTATCCTCACTGCCAACCTGATATCGAAGACTTAAAGAATTACTTAACAGCCACTACTTTCTCTGAATCTTCACTGCCGACCTCTGATATTGAACAGATTACGGACTTCACTGGATTCCATATTCAGAGACTACGGCAAACATGTTTAACAATGTCTAATGCTACAGCCTGGGCTTCACCGTTTTTATCTAGAGGATGATGGGCTCTTTCCGCAATTATCGTCAGTACATCAGCATAGAAACTCCTGAAGAAACTAAAGCCATATTGCTTGTCTGAGAAAAAGCATTGTAACGACAGATGATGAACCAATCCAGCATTGATTAGGACCTCTAGGAATTTCCCCAAAAGAAGTAGAAGGCTATAGTTAGGAGGATCGGACAGTTCATCAGAGTTCTTAAAAACTGGAACCACAGACGATGACTTCTAGCAGGGAGGAAAGCAGAAGGCATAAGGTATTTATTATACAGTTTAAAGAGAATTGAACCCTTCTTAATGACTATTACAGAGATACCATCGGTTCCATATGCTTTGTGGGGATCTAGGTTAGAGATACCAGCAGAAACCATAGAAGGAGTTATATGCGCATCACTTAACAGAGATTCACTTCTAAGTGGAAGGTTAGGCAAGGATACTCCAGATGAGTCAAGAGCAGAGTTTAAGGAGAATTTACGGGAAAATTTATCAGCAGAGGATGGTAACACCTCAAGTTGATTGAAGAGGGGAGGAATAGAGACCTTGCACTTATTTAATACCCTATTACAAAGCCGCCAGTAACCACGAGAGCCAAAGTTGTTAAAAGCATTCTTATTCTCTCGGCAAACAGGGACATAGCTTCTTCGAGGACTGGCTTATATTTATTACGCTGGTATCTCCGAAAATAGTTGTTCCTCTGTGCTATAGCGACCGAGCCTGTAGGTGTGAAACATGGAGAGGATTGACGTTTCATCTGGTATTTCTGATAAGGGATGAAAGTGTCCATGCCGGTTTTGATCCAAGAAGAAACCTCATTGGCACAATTTTCAATTGGGAGGTTAAACATATTCAAGGTGCGTCACGAAGAAAATGACGGAGTGATTCCCAATCAGCAGGAAAGAGGTTATATGGATAGGGGGTTCCTATTTAATAGATGATTGGAACGTTATATCAATAGCTACTACAGAGTCTTCCGAGTTACCAAGAGGGCATTATTGCGAAGGTCGGCAACAGCGAGGAAAGGTGAGAAATAAATCAAATAAAGATTCCTGTTACTCAGCTTTGCTAGGGAAATGAGTAGGAAAGTCTACCGTTTGGATAAGGGATTGAGCAATAGAAAAATTTAATACCGGCAACTTCAATACCTTGAGAATGTTTCAGTCACGTGTCATGGAGAGCATTAAAGTCACCGAAGACAAAGATGTTCGCAGATGAATGGAGAGAAAGTGTCTTTTCTATACTGTCAAATATTATGTTTAATATACTGCAGTCCTGGGAAGAGGGGACAATAAAGGAAAAAATGATAGCTGGCAGAGTTTAGTAATGAAAGACGGAAGCACATGAAAGAGTAGTCAGCGGCCTCGAAAGACAATTCTATGGACATCGGAAGATTATCCCGGATGTAAACACCAAGGCCATGTATGGGAATGCTGAGATCTTTTCGGCAAAGGGGAAGATAGCCTGGAACCAATAATTCATTGGTAACAATGGAAGAATTTAAGTTGGTTTCACAAAGGGCAAAGATATCTGGCGACAGTTCCAAGAGAAATTTTTCTACGTCGCAGAAACTGTAATGGATGCCACAAATATTGGAGAAAGAAAGGTTGAGGGGTTAGGTGTTTTTTGTTTGCTGGTTTATTTATATTTATTTTTGTTGTGTTTTCGATGACATCCGTTTTGAGGGGAGAGAACAACAACCGCCATAACTGTCACTATCTGTCGTTAATGGTAATGCAAACTAGCCAGATTGTGGCTGAGAAGAGAGCATAATGTAGCCTCACTATTGCTCACCGGAATTACATGCAGGGACACCTACCCATGCACGACATGGCACTACAGATACCCCGATATTATGAGAGTGCTGAACAGAGAAGCCTCTCGAAGCGCTATCAAAGATTCCAGGCTCCTAACGACCAATCGGAAGCAGCAGCCAGCAGACTGCCAACCCGGTACCCTCCCAATAAAAAGTCACAGCCAATGGTTAGTTTGATCACCAAAAAGTTAACCATTGTGGATCTGGTAAAAGAAAGAAAGAGAGAACCGATAAAACATCCTGAACAAGGAACAAGGGATGGTCTTCTATTGCTGTTCATTAGATATGGAAACAGTGCGGGTTGGGCGACAGGTAAACCTATCTAGTCCTATAAACCTGTAAAGAAAAAAGAAAAGCAAAAAAGCACATGAAATAGAAAAGAATTCATATTAAGTTATGACGTAAGTTCTGATGTCTACTACCAACGAAAAAAGCGGGATGGTAAAAATTAATTCACTCTTGTCGCGTCAATTTTTCAGCAATGATAAGCAACAGTAGGTAAGCACATTCTAAATTAAGCAAGATGCAGCAAGAGGCTGAAGGAAAAAAAATGATAACTAATAGCAAGGGAAAAAAAGAAAATAACGCCAGGGAATGAATGATAAGTGAAAACGTCGGAAATAAAGCCAACAAAAAAGAAAAAAAAACACAAAGAGTTAAACATTAACAAATAAGATGGCGCAAGGCTTTCAAAGTTACTTGCAAGGGACTCTTCAAATGCGTCTTCCAAATCATTAAATTTGACTTTTTTATGAACAGATCAAGCCAACTTAATTTCAATGATGGTTTGGTGAAAATTAAGTCGACTCTGAAATGGATCTCGGATTCCTCGACCAAAGTCTCTCACTTAGGATAGGTAGTGGATGTGGTATGAGGGGATGAAGGGTTCGGGCCAAAGTCTCTCGCTTGGAATGGGTGATAGCGGTAGTAAAGGTGTGTATGTGTGTGTGAAATATCCAGAATTTCTCGCTTGCGATTGGTCATGTGGTAATACAAAGGCGGTGTAGTATCTTTTACTTGGCAGTGGTGGGGTGGGG